ATCGATTCTTATGTGTCTTTTATAATGAAAAAGAAAATACTGGACATAGGAATACCTAAGTACAAAATCTCGTGTTTGTTAACATGATTTTGTTGTAAAGTATTTTGTATTCAAAATGAAGGCAAACTATATGATCAACCATGCACACAACCATATATGTCCGTGCCTTGACGTATATGTTTAATTGTGAATAAAATACATATGTTTAGACATGAACATTCATAGTTTTGTGTTTTAATCATATAACTTGATGCTTAATCCCTCTAAAGGATAACATGATATATGGATTTCTAGGTTCTGGTTTTATTTTATGTTTCTTTTTGATGATTTCTAATGAGAGTTGGATTTATGGTTTTATTTAACTATATGTGCTTGGATTCTCTTCTGAAATTAATGGGCATTCCATTTAGGAACTTTACCATTATTTATGTGTGTGGGTATCTGTGTGAGAGAGATAGATAGATAAATATAGAGATAGAGATATAGAGAGAGATGTTGGGTTAATTAGATTTATGAGTGTATGGGTATTTTAGGAAAATCCTTTTTATTGTAAGTATTTGATTTAGATTAAGAAGTTGTCTGTTTACTTAACAAGTATTACATATTGGTTTAGGTTACTACTTTCATTAGTATAAATAAGGGCATGTATTCGTTAGTTTAGATAGAGATTTAAAGCAATAAAATCATTTGTTTGGCCTTGGGCATCAAGGTATTACCAGTTTAATACCTTTCACTTGGTATTAGAGCCTAGGGCTCGTGAAAGTGTAGGGAGGCTGGTTTGAGAGTCGGTTTCAAGAAAACTGTAGCCATTTGTTGTGGGCAAATGCAGCGGGAACCAGGTTTGGTTTAAGAGGGGTGTAGATTGTTTTTTGAGCGTGAGTTGAAGCATCTCAACCGCAGTCCTGATTTTTCTTGATCGGGCTTGATCTAAGGTAAAGAAAGATTAACCGGAGACGCGAAATAAACGGACGAGAAAATGTCAAAGCGAGTGTGGACATTATGACGGTGGAAGTTTAAATAGGATGACTTTAGATTTGGCTGGGGAGAGGTCGTGAATCCTAGAAAAGTCTAGATGGTAATGAACATATCCAACAGGATGTCATGTTACATGTTACGTGTGTTGTGAACAATCAAAAGACTATGGATGAATTTGGACGTCACCGAGGTAGAGGTCGAGTGTCCGGGAAAAGTCGGGATGGTTCGGGAAGACGGTGATTCAACACTGTTGTGAATGAGAAGTATGGCTAATCCGATTAATGGGATGATTGTTCGGTTAATCGGATTTATGAGTGCATGGGTATTTTGGGAAAACCCTTTTATTTTAAGTAATTGATTTAGATTAGGAAGTTTTCTGCTTGCTTAACAAATGTTACGTATTGGTTTAGGTTACTGCTATTATTAGTATAAATAAGGGCATGCATTCATTAGTTTAGATGGAGTTTTTTAGCAATAAAATCATTTGTTTGGTTTTGGGCATCAATGTACTGCCAGTTTAATACCTTTCAAGAGAGATGGTAGTGGACTCCATATCAAATGTTTTTTTTTTGAATCACTAATAATATAAAATATTAGTAAGGGCGTGTTCGGCAAATCAAGCGAGTAGTATGTAGAAGGTAACTGATAACGTTTTGTTAAAAGCTACAGGAGATAACTTTGGGATTTGAAGTGTTTTTTAAACTAAACGCTAAAAATTTGTAATGCTAAATGAGGATTTTTGTTTAAAATGGAACGTTTTTTTAAATGCTACAAGTTAAAAGCTCTCAAACTTTCCGTACCAAACACATCCTACAACGTTAGAAAAACAATATTACATTAGGAAGATTTAAATGCTAAAATATGGTTACATAACCAATTAGACCATAAGACCATGACACCCTATTTTCCCATATTAAAATGTTAATTAATAAATAGATGATAAAAACGAAAATAAAAAAAATACAAAATGGTTATTTTGTAGACATTTAAAGAAAGATGAGTGACGTTAACTACCAAAAAGACAAAATCTGATGAATTTAAAACCAAATAAATTGATCATATGACAATTTTTTGAAAATAAAAGTAAGACAATAATAGTATATCGTGTTTTTATTTGAATTGGGTGCCAGCTCTAAATGATATAGCCGTTTATTCAATATGGTACCGGGGTCCGCAAAAAAATAACCGGGAAGATTCTCCAAAAACTCCAAAATTAATAAATTTAAGAAACGAGAAGGAATCTTCAAAATATTGCATCCAAATTGTATTAGTATAAACGATATTTTTTTTTTCAAATAAAATAGTTTAAAATATTATACTTCATGTCATGCAGCCTAATTTAGAAATGGAATGTTTTTTTTTTTTAATACAGGAGAGCATAATTATTAAATAAAGTATTTTTGCAAAATATAAATGCTAATCATTCATGACTCTTTTATAAGCATTCAATAATTAGTAACTGACTGATTTTAGTTTTTAATTTTCTAAATTTGCATAATGTTTAGTAAAGTATACAAAATTTACTCGAATTTACTGATGCTACTACTATCTAAAAAGTGATAAGATATATGAGAGTTATAAATTTACAAATTCAATTTGTATTTTTTTTAAGAGGTGGATTGGGGTTGTTTATTTAAAACAATTTATCATTTTTGTGTTTATTAGTTCGTTCTGTATTAAAACAAAAATTAAAAAAGAAATATTTTAATTAGTTTATGTCGTAATTTTTCTGACCATATCTGTTAATAAAATTTGATAATTTTTTTATAAAAATAATGTATCGTCTAAAACTCATTTTTATAGTTTTTTTGTAAGATAAAAATAAGATATTATAACGGCAATGCATTTTATTTTAATAACAACACACTTAGAATTAAGAAAATAGATCCGATATCATTCTTATTATGTCTACGTGATTGTAAAGAATTAAAGTAAATGATTTAATTTTTATTCATTTCTAAAATGACCATTAATTCTGAAAAGTGAAAACAGGCATTTTGGATTTTTTTTTTTTAATTATTTTTTTTCATATCTACACCACCAAACATTTACCAAATTTCTTTGTATCTTCTTAAATCCAAAATTTTACTATCATAAGTTTTTCACCTAAATGAAACATTTTTATGGCCTTGTATACTGTATAGTTTGTTTTTTATATATATCATTTTAAGTTTTTTGTTACTTTGGATATATTTTTGTTTAGCTTTTTCCACAATATTTAATCTGGATTCCAAATTCCGCTTCGGAATCCAAATCTAAAATGTATTTTTTTTTTTTTGCAAAAATATATTGATTTGATATAAGGTAATCCAAAACAAAATAAATTTAATCCATAATATAAATTTTCCAATATAATGATCACTTGGGTAAATGACAAAAAAGTAAAGCAATTACAGTATTTTTCTAAAATTATATGATTTTTTTTTTGTGACTATCCTTATATTTTAAGAATTATTTAGAGAAAATAACTTTAAAAGGTAACGAAGTTTAAAAAATATACAAAAAAGACTATTGTTTTTTTTTAATATTTTTTATACACAAAATACTATTTTACCAGTTATTGTAGGTTACCATTGTTGTTTTTTTTTAATACAAAAAATATCATTAATGTTAGTATTTGTACACAGAATACCAACGAAATACACATGTGTTCAACTAAAATATTATGATAACCAAATACTTTAGGTAAATGGGAAAATAACTTAAAGTATAACGAAGTTTCAAAAATATTTAAAAAATACCACACTATTTGTTAATTGTGTTGTTAGATTATGTAGAGCACAATCACCAGAGATCATGAACCATTATATCAGTTCACAACAATTGTGCAATTCTCTTTCATTCTTTCACTCGATTGTTCTTATGGTAACAAGAGAAGTAGGTGGGTAATAACATTAGTTAAACATTATTTCTTCCCGATCACATTATATGCCTCAAACCTAAAACATATATACGTTATATAGATGCACATATTATACATCAATGTTAGTCGTTTATTATTGTTTCGATACAAGAGAGACACAAAGGAGAAATGAGTGTGATGTTATGTCATGAGAATTCCTAAATATAGATTTAGATACAAACTGATCGAGTGATGGAATGAAAGATAATAAACAACTAGTTCAACTGGTGTGAACTGGTACGACGGTGACTAATCTCCGATGACTGTGTTCTATATAATCCGGAAATAACAAAGTTAACAAAATGTGCTCTGAAAAAATAACAATGGTTTTTTTTTTTGAACATTTTTGAAACTTTGTTATCTTTTTATGATATTTTTCCGTTACCTGCGGTAAGAGGTTACCCACAAGGTTTTATTTAAACATGTATATTTCATTGGTATTTTGTGTATAAAAATACACTTTAATAATATTTTAAGTACTAAAAATAAAAGAATAATATTTTTTGTATATTTTTGAAACTTCATTAACTTTTAAATCATTTTCCAATTAAAATATAATTTATTGCGGTAATAAACCAACCCATTATAGAAAATACACCGACACAACTTGGAGATTTACGCGTCGAGGAAACAATAAAGAAAAAGAATCCCTTTTACACATTCCTCTTTATTTCATTTTCCTTAAAAAAAATATATAAATAACCTATACTAACTTTTAAGTTAAAAATGTTGATTATTTCATTTTCCTAAAACTAAGAAAAGCCCGACCAAAATAATAAATAGGTAAATTTGAAATTTAATATAATATTAAATGATTCGAAGTGGTCTCATACTTGTTGCAATGTAGACAACCATTTTCTTAAAATAATTATTCTGAAGGATTCTTTAAAATTTGTCTCCATATAAAAAATTAAAACAAAATAACATCTAATTTAATTAATAAAAATTATACAAATCTAAAATTTATTTATAGATAAAGCATTATTATTATTATTATTATTATTATTATTATTATTATTATTATTATTATTATTAACAACAATATTTAATTCCTATTTTTGTCGTTAAGATTAAACAATTAAATGTTAAATTTGTTTTAACATATAAGTTATAACCATAATGTCTCCCAAGAAAAATACAAAATTATTATTGCTAAATAAAGAATATATTATTTTATTTTATATAAAATGATAAAGAAAACATACAATTAAGATGATGGTACAGAAATTTCCGGTTATGCCCCTCTGGTCTTCTTCCTTCTTCCTTCTTCCTACCTCCCTCCGATTTGTATTTTGTCTTGTCTCTGCAGCACTGCCTCTACAAACAACCACAAAACCTTACACTAATTCCAAAATAAAACAATCATACAAAAAACATTCATTTTTAAAACCCTAGAAATGGAGTCTCTCTCACGTCCTTTTCTCCCCAGAAAACTTTCCAATGCAACTACCTTCTCACCCAGAAACTCCTACGACGGCGTTTTTTCCGGCCACCGCCACAACTACACCGGAGCTTCGCCAATTGACGTTCAAGACTACCGTGAGATTTTCGCTAACTCCCCTGCTGCTTCATCAATTCCTGTGCTTGATCTTTCAACCTTAAGAGAACCTTCTTCTGATGCTTTGAACTTGAATTTGCACTTGAACTTGAACTTCCGGAGTTCAGAGCCGGATTACTCTAAGATTTTCGGTGGCATTCGTGACGAAGATGTCGCTGTTTCTTATGAAGAACTATTTGCTCGCGACAAAGCCAGGTGATTTTTTATTCTTTGAAACGCGTTTGGAAAATTTTGTCTTTCTCGTTGTTCGATTGAAACAGAGGCACCCTGATATTATTCTGAACGGCAGTTTTGGCAATGACAATGGTGCTTGATTTCTATAATTTTTGTAGTTTATGAAAAATTGAGACGTTTTTGGCTCTTATGTTTCGAATATACCGAAAAGAAAGTTAGAACTTGGGGTTTCTGTCGTTTCTCGGGTTCAAATTCTCCCTATTTTGCAGCTCTGATAAATCCTGTTTCAGTAGTCGGTTTTATACTACTAAATACTCTTGAAATTGAGAATTTCGAAATCAAGTCATAACCTTTTTCTCCGTTAATGTTGGTTTTAGGGCTCCTTCATCAAAAACATCTTCACCAGATTCCGATAATTTGTCTCATCACTCCGCTGATGTCTTGAAGCAATTTAACATGTCATATAATAAGATCAGCCGAAAAAATAAAGATGGATTAGATCATGGGACAAGACATGTCACACAATTACATGCCATACCTGGATTTACTCGTTTCATTGATGAAGCAGTTCCTCCATTAATGGAAGCCAAGAAGCAGGATTCCGCAGAAGTTCATGTTAGTTTAGATTCCATTAAAAGAAGTAAACATCATCCCACTACAGTATCATCACCTTCGTCTTCACCAAATAACATAGTTGATCATAAAGATTATCCAAAAAGATCAACAACTATGAATTCCGAGTCATGTGAAAGTGATGCTTCTGAAAGTTATTTTGATGCTGAAGGTGATGCCAATTCCGCTGCTTCTGCTTCTGCAGCTGCTCTGAAGAAAGCAATAGAGAAGGCTCAAGAAAGTATACGGATTGCAAAAGAATCAGTTGGAAGAAAGAAGAAAGGGCTTCGAAGCTTTTCAAGTAAAAGCTTCAAAGATAGCTTGAAAGTTGAAGAACCAAAATGCAAAGATGAAGTGAGAGGGGTATTTGAAAGAAACGCTGCTTCTGTTACATCACAAGCTGTGGGTAGAAACCGTAAATATGGTGATACAGTAGTTTTTCCAGATTTCATGGACAGTGAGAAACTTTCTGTCGCAAAAAGGGTTATAGATGAAATACATGGAAAATTTTCAGAATCAACTAAAGAATCTTCGATATTGAAAGATAATACCATTGTTTCAAATTCTACACAAGTTACACACGAAACAGTAGAAATTGATATTTCCAGAGAATCAAAGGAGAATACGAATGAGGTAAGACCAAATTATGCCGATGAATTAGTTACAGAATCGAATGATTTAACTATCTCTCAAAAGGTTGAAGAAGATGAGAAGAAATTGCCCCTAGAATCTGTTTTATCAGATAATGAGAAACAAGAAGAGGTTCTTGAACAAGAACACCTCAAGAATGCAGAGAAAAGTGATGATGAAGCAAGTGATAACATACAAGAAAGTAAAGAGAGTGAAGGAATCTGTCATAACAAGTTACAAAAAGACGATTTTGAGAAGAAACAGGAAGATAACCACATAGGTGATCAAAAGGTGGAAACTTTCGAACTTGATCATAACGTTATCGAAGAAATGGAAACACACAAGTATTCCAAAGTTGATATGAACGATAACAATGAGGAAACAACTCAAGAGGTTGATGATGATGATACAGAAGCAATGAAGGAAACAGAAGATGAAGTTATTGAAAAGACTTCAATAGATCAAACTTCCTCCGATGACTACGAAGATGAATACGAAGTGAAATCTGACGACACTAATGGATCCGAATCGAACGACGTTGAATCCGAATCATCATCTTCAAGAGAAGAAGAAGAAAGTCAAACTAACATCCAACTTCCCCACAACGAAAACCCTACAATCGAAACCACAAAGGAGACGATTGATGACGTGGCAGCTAGAGAAAAGGAGCGGGAGAAAGACAGATTAGCTGTCGACAGAGCAATTCGCGAAGCGCGTGAGCGAGCGCGTGAAAGAGCCGAACGAGCTGCTGTTGAAAAAGCCACCGAAGAAATAAGACAGCGAATGAGAGCTGACGCCCAACAAAAGGCTGCAAAAGCTTCTGCCCAGTCGAAGCTGAGAGCCGAGCGAGCTGCAGTCGAGAGAGCCACGTCAGAAGCCCGACAACGAGCTTTAGAGAAGGCAATGACTAAAAAGCCCTTACAGGATTCCTCTCGCACTTCTAATGGAACAACAACTTCTGAATCGGCTCTAAGAAGTAAAGCCAAATTGGAAAAAGACAATCGAATCATGGAAAGAGCTGTATGAATATGAAATTTGTTGATTTAATTTAATAATTTCTTCCTCGTGACTCATAAATGTAACGATTTTAATGGTGGATTTGTTTCTTTAGGCTAAAGCGCTTGCAGAAAAAGAGAAACGGGATTTGCTTGCTCAAAAGGAAGAAGCCGAGAGAAATGTAATAATCCCGATTTAAAAATAAAAACGATTTATTTTAATTTCTATAACAAATTAACAAAACATGTTGTATTTCAGAGATTAGCGGAGAATCTTGACGCTGATATCAAGAGGTGGTCAAATGGGAAAGAAGGAAACTTGCGTGCATTGCTTTCAACACTACAATATGTATGTACAAGTTAATTTTAATTTTAATTTTAAATATGTAATAAAGTAATTAAATTGTTGGAGTTTTCACAGATTCTTGGAGGCGAAAGTGGTTGGCAACCGATTCCATTGACAGAGATCATAGGGAGAAGCGCTGTAAAGAAAGCTTACAGAAAAGCTACTCTTTGTGTTCATCCAGACAAGTTACAACAACGAGGGGCAAGTATTCAACATAAGTATATATGTGAAAAGGTTTTTGATCTTTTAAAGGTATATATATGCAAATATACTATCGATCTTTTAAACTTTTGTAATTGATCTTCTATTATTGGCTGATTTATAATAATTTTTGTGTATGTTGAAAGGCGGCTTGGAATAAATTCAACTCCGAAGAAAGATAGCGGCTTCTTATCGTTTGGAAGAAAGTCGTGGTGTTTGGTTTTGGGGGTGATTATTTATTTATTCAAGAGATGTATTATTATTTTCTTTATTGATGTTGTGATTTACCAAATGGAAAAGAGAAGAGAGTTCAGTGGTTTCGGGTATATGATTTCTCATATGTTTAGAGCACATGTGAGGAGTCATTATACCTGGAATTTGACATTGAATGGTGGATTATGTGTCTTCATTTGAGGTGAGTTAACAAAGTTCACATGTATTTTCCATACCTAAGAAACTAAAAATGTCAAAGAACAGATTCTAATTCTAATTCCTTTTATTACTACACGATGGTTCCATCTTTAATGGTTGCATTCTTGAGGATGACAGTTATCCCTGATCTTATGTAAAAACCTTCATCCGATCTGTCTGCTTCTTCCACATTATCTTTGTTTGCAATTATCACATCTTTTCCAATCTTGGCATTCTTATCGATTATGCAATTCCTATTTAACCAATATTACAAAAAAGAAAAAAGAAAAAAAAGATGATCACAATCTAAAAAACAAACATGTTTGTATTTGAGGAAGTTGAGGGAAAGGACAAGACTCACGTGATTTTTGTGTTCTGTCCCACACCGATTGGAACTCTCCCACTTGCTATAAAAGCCGCAACTTCCGCATCCGTTTGGTAATAGTCCGCACCCATCATCATTGTATCCTAACAAGGGCAAATATGTCATTTAACTATGTCAAAAAGCCAATAAGATTCACACTTTCATGTCTCAAGAGTAACGGGTGATAGTCTCAGTCCAATGCATGACAAACACAGTACAAGACTTGTACTGTTTGTTATGTTAATGTTCACCTTAAGCTCGACGCCTTGGTCTAGACGTGACCGCACCCCAACAACCGAGTGTTGAATGCTACAATCGCGCAAAAAACACCCGTGGGAGATTATTGCATTAACAATCTATAAAAAAAAACAAAGTTTTTTTTAAAGAAACGGAATAATATATTAAACATGAGACATTATAAACTTAGCGTATATACCCTGCATCTTTCGACTTTAGTAGGAGGCAAGAATCTTGGTGATGTGAAGAAAGGAGTCTTGGGATCATTGAAATCAAACTTCGGAGGCTGCCCACATTGAAAAAAAAACACAAACTTTTAGTCCATAAAAAGCATTACAAAACATCTTGTGTTGTGTAAATATGGTTGGTAGGACACCTGTTCGGTTAGGGCTAGGTTTGCATCGAAAAAAGATTTTATAGTACCGATGTCCTCCCAATAATCTTTGAATAGATATGCCTAAAAAAGCAACAAAGATACTAAATTAGCATTCAAGATTTGAACATGATATGAATTAGACTTTATTTAACAAGACTGAGACTGATATCAATGAGACAAAAATTGCAGAGTGAGTCATACTTGGACATTGTGCTCTGCAACCGCACTAGGAATAATTTCGGACCCAAAGTCATTGCATGAAGGGTACTTCCATCTCAAAAGTTTTAGAAGGACATCGGTTCGAAAGACGTAAACGCCCATCGATGCAATGTAAGGGTTTTTCAAGGCCTCGTGCTCGGATAACCCTAGAAGAGTGGTGTCGACTTGCTGAAAAAAATGAAACACAACATGTTAATTGTATTACACAAAACAAAATTTATATATTAAACTTAACAAAATTAAAAATTTGTACACTTATTCACCATTGATTTTAGCAAGTTGCCCTTCGGCTTCTCAGCAAAATGAACTATTCGTCCTGACTTGTCAATCTTCATTAATCCATAGTCAGATGCTCGGCTACAAGGCAAAACAAGAGAAATTAAGACATGATAAATGACCTAAAATGGAAAACCATTATTTCCAAAACTTTCTTTGTTAAGTCGTTCTTTCTGTATTAAGTTTTTACCACTTACCTGTGGTCCATGGGAATGCAAGAAACACTTATATCAGCATTTGTGTCAACATGTTTCTACAAAAACATTTTCCAACAATCAATATTTGATAATCAAAAAGTAGATATAAAATATATATATCGACAAGAAGCACCTGAACAAAGTCCATATAGTCCATTCGGTATAAATGGTCACCCGATAATATCAATATGTTCTCAACATTCTTGTTCTTAGCATCCTACAATAAACCATAATTAAGTTATCATAAAAAAAAACTTAATTAAAAAAATATATAATTAAGTTATCACCTCAAACACCCATATAAATTGGCGAACAGCATCTGCTGTTCCTTGAAACCATTTCTTTCCTGCTTCCCCTGGTGTTTGAGTAGCAGCAAGAACCTAAAACCAAGAAAAAAAAAAGGATCGAAATTATTAGCGTTTTCTTTTCTCAAGAAAATTATAAAGAACAAGAGTTTAATAACTCGAAATTTGCAAAATAAAAACGTTATACTTCCACAAATCCATCTCCAAAACTCATTCCATTTCCGAAGTTATAAGTTCGAGCTAAATGACGATTGAGCGAAAACGAATTAAACTGTGTCAAGATGAAGATCTTTCGTATCCCACTATTAATGCAATTACTCATTGGAACATCGATGAGTCTGTAACATCCACCAATTGGAACCTGTATAATTAAATAATCAGAGTTGATTAACAGAATTAACAGGTTAATTATAACAATAATCAGTTTCCAAATATGAATTTAGCAAGATTCGAACTTACAGCTGGTTTAGCTCTTTGGCTAGTAAGAGGAAAGAGTCGAGTTCCAGCACCACCACCCAAGATAATGGAGGCCACTGTTTTAGGGTCTACTTTTCGTTCATCGAAGAATGGCGTCTCGAATTTCTGAAAATTTTAAAAATTTACAAGCACCCAACTCGAAAAACTTAACGAAGATCAATAAAATTCGTGTAAACTTACGAGCATCTCCTCATCAACAGGTGATTCAAGAACAGATTGAGTAACCCCAAGTTTCTTGATTTTTCGGGTTTGAGTTCTTGAACTTTTACAGAAACGAGTTGCAAAAGGTTTGATCTTGTTTCCCCAGAACCCATTTTCGATTCCATCGAGACCTTTTCGAACATGCAGATTAGGCTTGAAAGTAGCAAAACAAGAATCCATCTTTTGATCACTTTTTTTTATAAAAGATCAAAAAATGGCTAAAGCCCAAGACTCGAAATCAAGATTTTGGATTTTGTGGCCAGATAAAGAGTGATTTCACAGCACAGAAAGCTACTTTTTCTGTTGAAGATCTCAATGTAGTAAGGAGCTAAAGAAATGGCATTTGACTGAAATCGCAAGCAAAGTCTACACATTAATTGAATATTCTATATTCTTGTGTTCATATGACTGATATTTGAAAACCCCTGATGAGAAAACGTGTTCATGACGAAGATTAATCAAATTATGTTATTATTTTCTAAACAAACCCTCTGTTTTCCGAGGTATAAGAGGAAGAAAGAACAAAATCTTGAGAAAGATTCGATCTTCAGAGAATTCTTGATGCAATTAAAAAAGGGTTTGGATCTGATTAAGAAGAAAAGAGCAGAATGAATAGTAAGAAAATGTGAAGGTTGGCCAAGGTGCGTGTGGAGGGAGGGTTTGAAAGAGTAAGAGTGAGAACGGAAAATCCTCTCGTGAAAGGTTTCAGACTTTCTACCGTTCCACGTGTAGAAATCTGTGATTCATGTACATATTAATTGAATGTATTACAAGGGTGGTCCCTCTACTATGCGTTTATAGTTACCTACCCCTTTTAAGATGATTATTTATAGGTGAACATAATAACCAAAAAACCGAATCAAAATCAAATTAACTGATATAACCAAATCATAATAATCAAACCATTTTAAAAACCGTTGGTTTGGTTTTTGATTTTTGTTAAATGATAACTAACAGTTTTGTTATGCTTTTATAAGTTAACCGAACCGCTAACTTTATATTTTACTATATAAAGTTATAGATTATATTATATTTTACTATATAAAATAATATAGTCAAACTTATTTAAGACCCATCAAAATTTGAAAATATAATTCATTAACCCTCACTTATCAAGAGACGAACGAGAAATGAAACCATCAAAGGTTGATCAGGTAGACACACACAATTTTCCGATCATGCATTGAGTTAGATTATTAATTAATGTTGTAATTCCTAATAGGATAATTCTACAATTTTTAAACATTATTCACAATTACTTTAATCTTCACACTTATAATCCTAATCGAAGGCTTCTCACATCGTTAATCGTAATCAAATATTGTTTTGACTTTATAATCCTATTCGAAGGATTTTTTGACTTTATATTTAAAGACTTCTAGGTAAGTTTAGTTTTTAGTTATTATTGACTTTGTGATATATTAAGAATGTATTTTTTTGAGTTTTTTTTTTTGGTTTTTTTTTTATTTAATGTTTTGGACTTAATCACAGTGTGTGAGTGTGTGTGTGTGTATATATATATATATATATATATATATATATATATATATATATATATATATATAAGTGATTGATTTTTTTTTTAATCCAGAAAACACATAATATGAATCTTTGACTATTTTATTTTATTGATTTTGATTTAATCACATTTAACTTATGAATATTTGGCTTTATTTTAATGTTAATATCAATTATCAATATATAAAATTATTAATGTCAATTTTTTTCAATGTTTTATATTTTTATTAAATGTTTTTTTTTTATTATTATTATTTTGAATCTGACTATGTGTTATCTCACTTTGAGTATCAAAGGTACATATTTTATTCTATTACTATAAGTTAGGTTACAAACATTGACACTCAGGACTTTTTTGTATTCTCTTTTCATTTTTTATGCCAATATATATTCACCATTTATATTATTTTGAACATTGTGGTTAACGAATTTTAACCATTAACCAAAACCGTTAACCAAAAAAACCATTAACCATATTAAACGGCTATCAAAATGCATTAACCAATCATAATGGTTATGGTTCGGTTTTGACCAATAACTTAACAAACTGCCCCATACACACCTCTGGTTATTTATGTTCAAATAAGTCGAATTCACTATCGGGCGATGAGTCAAAATGACAAAATATAACAAAGAGAGATGGAATTGTGGGTATGACTTTGAGAAATAGTTGATTAGAGTTGTTACATTGGTTAACATTAATGATTAGAAGAGAACGAGTGAGAAGAAAGAGTTAGTTGTTGTAACAAAAGTCGACTCTATTTTTTATTAAAACAAATTAATCCATGTCGGTATTCACATGTGGACACTAAATGATGTCGTACACAACCGATACATGAATAATGTAATATGTTGAAAAAGGTGTTAGCTATTATAAATAATGGTAAAGGGTAAAAAAATATTTATGGGATGACTCCATTATGTTAGGTTTAATTGTTATTATTACTAGGGTTATTGTCAATCTAGGCCAACAATATTTAGTATATTGGTTTAAATGTTCATCATGATTTATTATTATTATTATTATTATTATTATTATTATTATTATTATTTTACCTTTCAACGTTACGAACTTATGCTTTTAGTTTTTAAAAGGTCATTATAGAAAATTTGAAGGAGTCACCAGGTGACCTCCATCCTAATCATTAGTCCATTATATCTTCTTCTCTCAGTCAACGATGTTATCGACATTCAAGCACCCAACTCCAGCCAAGATTTCTACAAATCGAAGCTTTTAGAACCCATGTTTACTTGTTTGTCGAAACCCATACCACCGAGTCCACCATCGCTATTCTCCACCATCTCTAGTCTTTAATCACTGATCGTCATTCACCCATCATCACCACGCCGATGTTGTTGTTAAGGGAAAAATCGCCATCCCTTTCCTTCGCTAACCATCATCATCTTCGTCTTCAAGGGTTCACCAACCATCATGATGAGTAACTTTGTCTGTTAGAACTGAACTCGTTTATGAAATCGAAATGTTTGCTTGAAATTTGTATCTAAAATCGATTTTCTAAGTCGAAATGTTTCTTGAAATCGGTTTCTAGAATCAACATGTTTGTTTGAAATCGGCATATGAAATCGATTTTCTAAATAAAAATGTTTGCTTGAAATCAGTTTCCGAAATCGTTTTTCTAAGATGTTTTCTTGAAATCAATTTGAAAATCAAATTATTTTGCTTGAAATAAGTTTCTAAAATCCTAAAGTACTCTTTTCTTCCGGAGGAACTGGATGTCGGTGAAGTCGACGAAGATGACCAAGGTACCACCTGATTAACATCTCTAATCTCCTTATCGTCAAAATCCGTTTCATCTTTGTCTTCGTCGTAATCATCGTCAAAACCCATATCTCGTGAAGAGAAAGATGATCGAAAAAAATACCCATTGATTTATGTGTTCCCAAATAAGGGGTAGTGAGATGCTGCGATTTTTGGAGGTTGTGAATCAATGGTGGTTTTTGCTGCTATCAGATACCATACAAATACACACCTAGTAACCCATACAAACATACACCACCAACTTCATCGTCTTTCCTGCCACCATCACACCGGAAAATCCAGTCACACCGCCACCCCTTCTCTCTGTTTACACCCACCACAACGTCAGAAAATCTCACCTACACTTTCCAAGATCTTGGTTTTAGAATTACAACGTATGAGAAATACATGGCGTTAATGAAAAAGAGGAAGCTCCATTGTTACTATTCGCAAGCCCTCACGTCACGATGTAAACTGATGGATTAGTTCTATCTTTGTGGCAATCAGGTTTTGGCTTACGTGACAACGATGAGTCGAGTCACCACTAAGTCATTGTTTACTCACGTGTCTAGTTCGCAGTTGACAATGCAGTATAACCTTTAAAAATGGGTAAAGATACCAAATTAACCGGTAAAACAAAAGTTCATACCTTTCAAAGGCAAAAAAAATCACGATGACCATTTAAACTAATGTACTAAACATTGTTAGACTACAGTGACAATAACCATTATTATAATCATCTTAAAGAGATTGAATGTATGTTATTAATTTATTATCAATAAAATTTAAAATATATTAATAACATGCTATTTTTTTAATTAATTTATATGTCAATATAATTGTAACACCCGACTTCTTGGGTAAGTTAAAGGGTAAATGGCAAAAAAAAAAACACTATTTTTACATAGAAATTCGATTTTGACACTTTTTTTTTTTTTTTTTATCTTTTTTGACATTGTGTTTTCCAATTTGTTACAATTCTGACCACTTGACCGGTTAACCAGGTTACATGCTGACGTGGTATGATGACGTGTCAGTTTTGATGATGTGGCAAGCTGACATTATATGCTAACGTATCAAAATTGATTTTTTTTCTCACAAAAAACACTAAGTTTTCATTTTTTTTTTGATTTTGACACTAAGTTTAATTTTTCTTTCTACTTTAAAACTATATTTTTTTGTTCCAAATTGAACATCATTTTTTCAAATTTTGTTCAATGTTGATAATTTTTTATTTGAAACCGTATAAATATTGTTTTAATACATTTAAACCGTATAAATATGTTTTTTTTTTCAATTAAGAGCCACAGTTTTGTATAAATACAATTTTTTTTACATTCAAACCATATTTTTATATATAAATATGTATTAGTTATATAAAAATTGTATTTTATATTAAATATGTAAATTTAAAATGTGTTTGGAGGTTTGAAGGCTTGTAGTCGATTAAAGCTCAGATATCAAGTTTGCAACCCATCAAATTTTTACATTTTATTAGAAACTTATAGTTAGTTTGATTCTCATGATATAACTAATGCTTTGAATGTAAGAAAAAAAACACTTTGTATTTAAATAAAAATGTGGTTTTTAAATGAAAAAAATATGTTTATACGGTTTAAAATGTAATAAAAATATATATATATTTATACGATTTCAAATGGAAAATAAAAAAAATTGAACAAAATTTGATAAATGATGTTCGGTTGGAACAAAAAAAACATAGTGTCAAAATTGAAACAAAAAATTTATTAGTGTCAAAATCGAAAAAAATTGAAAACTTAGTATTTTTTTGTGGAAAAAACATCAATTTTTACATGTCAGCATATCATGTCATCATGTCATGTCATCAAAACTAATACATCATCATATAACCTGGTTAACTGGTCATGTGGTCAGAATTTTAACAAATTGGAAAACACAGTGTCAAAATTGACAAAAAAAAACATGGTGTCAAAATCGAATTTCTGTGTAAAAATAGTGTTTTTTGTTAGGATTAATGGTACAAAAAACACTATTTTTACACAAAAATTTGATTTTAACACCATGTTATTTTTTGTGTCAATTTTGACACTGTGTTTTCCAATTTGTTACAATTCTGACCACTTGATCGGTTAACCAGGTTACATGCTGACGTGGCATGATGACATGTCAGTTTTGATGACGTGATATGCTGACATTATATGATAACGAGTCAAAATTGAAATTTTTTCTCACAAAAAACACCAAGTTTTCAATTTTTTTTTTCGAGTTTGACACTAAGTTTAATTTTTTCTTTCAACTTTGAAACTATGTTTTTTTGTTCTAAATCGAACATCATTTTTTCTAATTTTGTTTAATGTTGACAATTTTCTATTTAAAACCGTATAAATATTTTTTAATACATTTAAACTGTATAAAAATGTTTATACGGTTTAAATTGTAATGAAAAAAATATATTTATACG